ACGGAATCAAACATACTAGGCGAACGTTCTAAACATACATACAACATAACATCATACTAGAAAATGACAGAAGGATGCGAGTGGCGCAGTGCTATTTGTCGCCGTTATGACTCCTTGGACCAAGGTTCGAATCCCGCTCTTAGAAAAAACCATGGTCAGACTCCAAATCCTTTAATTTCTATAGAGGGGCTTCAAGCACCAGTCATGGATCGTTTACTACACAAGTGCAAAAGAATTAGCAGCGAGTGGTTTCGATCCACCGACCTCTGGGTTATGGGCCCAGCACGCTTCCACTGCGCCACGCTGCTGACGGAATTAAACATACTAGGCGAACGTTCTAAACATACATACAACATAACATCATACTAGAAAATGACAGAAGGATGCGAGTGGCGCAGTGCTATTTGTCGCCGTTATGACTCCTTGGACCAAGGTTCGAATCCCGCTCTTAGAAAAAACCATGGTCAGACTCCAAATCCTTTAATTTCTATAGAGGGGCTTCAAGCACCAGTCATGGATCGTTTACTACACAAGTGCAAAAGAATTAGCAGCGAGTGATTTCGATCCACCGACCTCTGGGTTATGGGCCCAGCACGCTTCCACTGCGCGACGCTGCTGACGGAATCAAACATACTAGGCGAACGTTCTAAACATACATACAACATAACATCATACTAGAAAATGACAGAAGGATGCGAGTGGCGCAGTGCTATTTGTCGCCGTTATGACTCCTTGGACCAAGGTTCGAATCCCGCTCTTAGAAAAAACCATGGTCAGACTCCAAATCCTTTAATTTCTATAGAGGGGCTTCAAGCACCAGTCATGGATCGTTTACTACACAAGTGCAAAAGAATTAGCAGCGAGTGGTTTCGATCCACCGACCTCTGGGTTATGGGCCCAGCACGCTTCCACTGCGCGACGCTGCTGACGGAATCAAACATACTAGGCGAACGTTCTAAACATACATACAACATAACATCATACTAGAAAATGACAGAAGGATGCGAGTGGCGCAGTGCTATTTGTCGCCGTTATGACTCCTTGGACCAAGGTTCGAATCCCGCTCTTAGAAAAAACCATGGTCAGACTCCAAATCCTTTAATTTCTATAGAGGGGCTTCAAGCACCAGTCATGGATCGTTTACTACACAAGTGCAAAAGAATTAGCAGCGAGTGGTTTCGATCCACCGACCTCTGGGTTATGGGCCCAGCACGCTTCCACTGCGCCACGCTGCTGACGGAATTAAACATACTAGGCGAACGTTCTAAACATACATACAACATAACATCATACTAGAAAATGACAGAAGGATGCGAGTGGCGCAGTGCTATTTGTCGCCGTTATGACTCCTTGGACCAAGGTTCGAATCCCGCTCTTAGAAAAAACCATGGTCAGACTCCAAATCCTTTAATTTCTATAGAGGGGCTTCAAGCACCAGTCATGGATCGTTTACTACACAAGTGCAAAAGAATTAGCAGCGAGTGGTTTCGATCCACCGACCTCTGGGTTATGGGCCCAGCACGCTTCCACTGCGCCACGCTGCTGACGGAATTAAACATACTAGGCGAACGTTCTAAACATACATACAACATAACATCATACTAGAAAATGACAGAAGGATGCGAGTGGCGCAGTGCTATTTGTCGCCGTTATGACTCCTTGGACCAAGGTTCGAATCCCGCTCTTAGAAAAAACCATGGTCAGACTCCAAATCCTTTAATTTCTATAGAGGGGCTTCAAGCACCAGTCATGGATCGTTTACTACACAAGTGCAAAAGAATTAGCAGCGAGTGGTTTCGATCCACCGACCTCTGGGTTATGGGCCCAGCACGCTTCCACTGCGCCACGCTGCTGACGGAATTAAACATACTAGGCGAACGTTCTAAACATACATACAACATAACATCATACTAGAAAATGACAGAAGGATGCGAGTGGCGCAGTGCTATTTGTCGCCGTTATGACTCCTTGGACCAAGGTTCGAATCCCGCTCTTAGAAAAAACCATGGTCAGACTCCAAATCCTTTAATTTCTATAGAGGGGCTTCAAGCACCAGTCATGGATCGTTTAGTGCAAAAGAATTAGCAGCGAGTGGTTTCGATCCACCGACCTCTGGGTTATGGGCCCAGCACGCTTCCACTGCGCCACGCTGCTGACGGAATCAAGCATACTAGGCGAACGTTCTAAACATACATACAACATAACATCATACTAGAAAATGACAGAAAGATGCGAGTGGCGCAGTGCTAATTGTCGCCGTTATGACTCCTTGGATCAAGGTTCGAATCCCGCTTTTAGAAAAAAGCATGGTCAGACTCCAAATCCTTTAATTTCTATAGAGGGGCTTCAAGCACCAGTCATGGATCGCTTAGTGCAAAAGAATTAGCAGCGAGTGGTTTCGATCCACCGACCTCTGGGTTATGGGCCCAGCACGCTTCCACTGCGCGACGCTGCTGACGGAATCAAACATACTAGGCGAACGTTCTAAACATACATACAACATAACATCATACTAGAAAATGACAGAAGGATGCGAGTGGCGCAGTGCTATTTGTCGCCGTTATGACTCCTTGGACCAAGGTTCGAATCCCGCTCTTAGAAAAAACCATGGTCAGACTCCAAATCCTTTAATTTCTATAGAGGGGCTTCAAGCACCAGTCATGGATCGTTTACTACACAAGTGCAAAAGAATTAGCAGCGAGTGGTTTCGATCCACCGACCTCTGGGTTATGGGCCCAGCACGCTTCCACTGCGCCACGCTGCTGACGGAATTAAACATACTAGGCGAACGTTCTAAACATACATACAACATAACATCATACTAGAAAATGACAGAAGGATGCGAGTGGCGCAGTGCTATTTGTCGCCGTTATGACTCCTTGGACCAAGGTTCGAATCCCGCTCTTACAAGGGAAGCTTGTTTAGTCGAAGTGGCCTTTCTAGATGAGATGTGTACCATATTAAAGGGCATAAAACGCTGATTTCAAATCTGCCTTCCCTATCCGCAGAGCGTTTATGCTCGAGAAGTTGTGAGCGTTTTTAAAGCTAAAAATTGAACGTACATTTTGGATAAAATGAGCTGCTAAAATCCTACTAGCCCTCAAATAAATGCAACCAAGTGTGATATATCTTTAATTTGCGAGAATTTTTTGAATGAAGTGCTCAAATGTTTATCGCTGCTCCATTTAAGAGCTAGAAAAAGTATTACGGCTATTTCTATCCCACTTGCTCATTCAATTTTTTGCCCCAATAAGCGCTCATTACTCCTCGCCCATGAATGCTCTGCAGATAAGGAAGGCAGATTTGGAATCAGCGTTTTATGCCCTTTAGTATGGTATACATCTCATCTAAAAAGGCCACTTCGACTAAATATGCATTCCTTGTTAGAAAAAACCATGGTCAGACTCCAAATCCTTTGATTTCTATAGAGGGGCTTCAAGCACCAGTCATGGATCGTTTACTACACAAGTGCAAAAGAATTAGCAGCGAGTGGTTTCGATCCACCGACCTCTGGGTTATGGGCCCAGCACGCTTCCACTGCGCCACGCTCATGACGGAATTAAACATACTAGGCGAACGTTCTAAACATACACACAACATAACATCATACTAGAAAATGACAGAAGGATGCGCGTGACGCAGTGCTATTTGTCGCCGTTATGACCCTTTGGACCAAGGTTCGAATCCCGCTCTTAGAAAAAACCATGGTCAGACTCCAAATCCTTTGATTTCTATAGAGGGGCTTCAAGCACCAGTCATGGATCGTTTACTATACAAGTGCAAAAGAATTAGCACCGAGTGGTTTCGATCCACCGACCTCTGGGTTATGGGCCCAGCACGCTTCCACTGCGCCGCGCGCATGATTCTTTCAGTTTCTTGTGTGATGTTATCCTGTGTGTATATCTAGAAAGTTCACTTAGTATGTTTAATCTCATAAGCGACGTGGCGCAGTGGAAGCGTTCTAAACCCATAACGCAGAAGTCACTCGCTGCTAATTTTTTTGCACTTGTGAATAGTAACCGATCCATAACTGGTACCCTGAATCTTCTCGTTAGAAAATAAAGGGTTTGACGCCGTCATTACCCTCCGTAGACATATTTTGTGCCTCCAATCTGAAGTCGGAATTCTACTGGAGAGTATTCTACGATAACTGCCACGTACCAAGTCAGTGCTTTGGTTTCTCATACTGCTCTGAAGCAATTTGTCGACGAAATTTACAGTTCTTGACTTCTCCAAGGGCGTGATTCGAATCTTGGTCCAAACGGTCATAGGGGAGCGTAAGACCATTGCCCCAAGCGTCCCTTTCTATTTTTTTCCTTGTGTGATTTTTAGAGCATTCACATAGAATGTTTGATGACGCGTGAAAGCGTGCTATTCCCTAAGACTGATTATTCTGAGTCGAAACCGCTCGATGCTAATCCAAAGCTCGACGGAATTGCTCTTTCACTTGAAAAGCTGCTCACTCTTACTATACTTTGAATTGCCATGAGCTCAACTAATAGCATACCTTTTTTTTGAGTCCAGTGAGATGTAAACATCAGCGGAAAAGACCCTGCACATTTCTATTGTTGAGGCGCAGAGGAACTGTCTTAGGATAGCAAGAGGAGGCGGGGCTCGAGACGACATACCACAGAATATGATAAAATCTTTATTTGAAGAAGTTACTTTCTCAAACAGTGGAAGGGATGCCTTCGGCGGGCAAATGGCGCGAGTCGGCTACTTCGCGCTCTGGAGCGCTCCGGAGCCCTGCCATTTCACCGATTTTAGTGCTCCGGGGCTCTCCCAAATCTAGCGCACTTCCGAAGCAGAGATTGGCGCGTCTCGGAGAGGGGTCCCATTCGTTCGCGGTGACTCACAAGCAGGCGAATGGGACCCCTCTCCGGGACGCGCCATCTCTGCTCCGGAGGTGCGCCAGATTTGAGAGCCCCGAGCACTAAAATGGGTGAAATGGCAGGGCTCTGGAGCGTCCAGAACGCAAAGTGGCAGACTCGCGCCATTTGCCCGCCGGAGGTATCTCTTCGACTGTCTGAGTTTTTGGTGTAAGTAATAGTTCCGAAGTCTTTGAGCAAATGCAAGCTAAGTGAACAAGAGATTTACGAAGGCAAAGTAGGCCCGAATTTTGTCAGTGTCAAAGCTCTTCATTTCTTCGAGCCCTTCGCAATATTCTCCTCTCCTGTACAAATTTCGGATGTCGTCGTACGTATTCCACCATCTGCAAGAAAGGCTAAAGTAAGTCACGTAGGTCTTGCGTACATGTCTCTCGATAGAAATTATATCTCAAATAAGTGGCGTCCTTTCCTATTCCGCAACTGTAGGGCTTGTCGGTGACATAACTACCTCTACCCCTTACTCTTACTCCAAGTTTTCTTTTCTGAACCCAGCACTGAAGCTGAAAAAGGCTGACAATGCCTTTTCTTTAGCATTATGGTACCCATTATACAGAATCATTCCTCGACTTTGACTGAGCATGTATAATTCTATCTTGTCAAAAAAATTAGAAGATAGTTCAGCAAATAGGACGACCTTTTCTCTTTTGAGTTGAAATGCGCTTTCAAAGGCAGACCGTTTTTTTTCCACGATGGAGGAAGATTGAACAGCTGTTATATGATCCGCTTATTGCAAAGTTCATAATCTGGTTTATATCTACTAAATTAAACTGAAAAAAATCCAAGGCCTCGATTTAAAGCATGACTGGATTGAGATCTTAAATTACAAAGACCAAGACAAGAATTGTAGGGTTTGTTTGCCAGGTAATGAGTATGACTTCCACAAAACCAGTATCGAAAATTTGCATAAGATGCTCCATTTCAACTAAAAGCATCTTCAATGCACCCTTTGATAAAAGACCATCTCAGTAATCGCGATTCTTTAACTTTTCCGCTTCTCAAGAAGAAAGAGTTTTTGTAAAGAGGAATAATCATGTTTATGTACCAGTAATCATGCAAGACCATTCACAGAATTAGCTCTTCTCACTCACCAAAATAACCTGCCGCTTGAATTCTGTAGGGTCGAATCGGTAACTGGTGAACTTCTTATGCGCTGCACCAGTGCTCGGATGTTGGCCAGCGTCCTCAGGATAGATCAAATGTTCCTGAAAGGAAAACCACAATGGAGTAAGGGTCCATTTTGATAGTAGTCCATTTTAAAAGCGATGTATTGTCTAGATTGTCCCGATTCAACTACGCCAGTTTATGACTTTGATTATCGCATTTCTCAGCTTCGACAAGTTTCAGTCCGCTCAATGACGATCTGGGCAACGGTAGCTACTTTTGAAATGAAATTTTACAACCACAATAACATTTTACAACGTCTACAACCAAGAAGTCTTAAGGAATTTTTAGCTGAACATTTAGAATGTGTATTTCGAGCACCCCATATAAAACAGAGCTTTTTGACAACTACAGCGTACTTTTGAAAATTAAGAAGTCATTATGTGTAGCTGCTGTTCCTTTTTTTTGAAATGCTATCTATCTACAAATCAATGTAAGGCTGTTTAGATTTTCACCGCTAATTCGCAATTGCAACCATCAATACAGACAGAACTTATCACTCACCAGCACTTTTTTTTACTATTGTCAGTAATGCACATTGACAAAGCTCATGCAAAAAATAAAAACCAGAAGCGAATACCTTGCCAGGCGACCACGTAAAATATTTCACTCCTCGAAGTCGTGCTAGATCCTTATAGCAGTCGCGGTCATCGCAGTTATATCTGAAATAAGAGACAAAGTAGCTGAAACACAGCCTACTAACAGTCGTCAGCAACATGAACGAATAGGCAACACTCCAGTACAGTTAAATTATACATTTTAGGTAGTCTCCTGATCTCTGATCAAGCGCTAATTTGTGGGTGAATGCTCATCGCCCGAGCGGGCGCTTGAATACAACGGTGAAACAGCGTCTAATCAAAGACGGGAGTTCAATAAAACTAAAGGCTTCTGCCAGGCACTCAGAACATCACTATACTTGCATCTTCTATACGCTCAAGAATCAAAATAAAGGTGTTCAAATAGTGTACCTCTGTTTGATTGTTAATAACTCTTAATAACTCATGAAGTCTTTCAAGGAACTTTAGGTTGAAAATTAAAGATTTGGCTTCAACTCAGATTCACAGTGTGGAGTGAACCTCCCATTTTTCGTCATACGTAGGATTAGGTAGAAACTTTCAGCATAGTGCCACTGTAAAAATGGCTGTTTCAGGAAAAAATTTCAGCAAAATCTGAAGAAGTTTGTAACAATTTTTTCAAGCATACTGACTTCATTATACAACTTTTTACTAGCTATATGAGCTTTTTAAGTGGTGTAATGAAATTTTTGAGGAGCGTCAAAAAACCGGTTATTACGGTTTATCTAACATAACTTATGAAAAAAGAGTCAGGGCTGAAGTGCAATTTCATATCTAATCAGCGAATCTGATTAGCCCAGTGTTGAGGTTCCCAGCTCATTCGATTCCTTTGTAATATGACCCTCAATGAATCAAAAGCTTCTCAAAAAAATGTGCCGTATCCTACAGTATCGACGAAAGATGAGAGGTTTACTCCACACTGTAAATGTAACTTGAAGGCAGCTCTACAAAATGGTACGCAAAGCTATGAAAACTTCACGACAGGAGCGTTATCAACAATCAAAAAGTAGGCACATTTTTGGGACACCCTGTATGTATGTCCACTTACAGTTCCATGATCGCTGCCCAGTCAGGCAGGAACAGCAAATGTGTGAGTCCGGCACCATGCATTCCAATGAAAATATCTGAATTATGGGTGCTGTTGAGCTGGCTGAGGAAGGGATTCTGCCTAAACCACCGGAAATCAAGCAGGTAAAGGTCTCATTGCTAGATGTGTTTTTCTTACCCATTGTAATCAACCACGTTGACTGTGAGTCCAGGAATGTCCTTGATTGCTGCAAGTAACTGAAAGAAAAATTTGAAAGCGATACTATTGGTCTTGGCCTCAATTGACGCCTTACTCAGAAAGCATTACTGAAGTTTCCTTATGCAATTTATGCTACAATTAGAGCTAATAGATTGTATTGCACTTTATACATGGTTGTGCGAACATGAGAAGAAAAAAAAACTCAAATAATAATAAAAAGAAAATCAATGATGATTCACAACTTCCACATTTTTACTGAGCGGTACTTTTCCTTGGCAAATTTTGTAAAAGCTGTTCTTACAGAACACCAATGTCCAGAAATGATACGATGCTCTACGGTAGGTGTGCACAATCGCCATATAAAAATAGGAGTGATGTCATTGTTTGACTAGCAAGTGAAAAATAACGAAAAATGATCCAGCTACCACTTGTTGACAGCAATTATTGTCATTAGAATTATCAGGGCAGCTGACTAATATTGCGTAAATCGAACAAAATTCGACAACTTTCCAATTAGTAAAGCTGGGTCCATAGTAATTTCTAAAAATAGCAGACGGTTGCGAGTCATAACAGGTATTGAAGCGTAGCTTTTTATAAGTTAGCCACCGAGAACGAAACTTTTGAATATGAATAGCGTTTCGAATTTGGCGCTCTTGAGTTTGGTGCCAGAAATTTCCGCAGAGCGCTAGCTAGCCTGAAAGGTTCGTAAAATTTACTACTTAGCAATACTCCATACGTTAATGTGGCAAGGTTCGAGGTCTTGAAAAAACGTCACAGCGTTGCAAGTGATCACTAAGTTATTTCAGGTCTCGGGCTGTGTTTTGTTATGATGATGCCATGAAAGTGGGAATTTTTTTTTGTAAAATGACATTTTTCGTGAAAGTTTCGTTTCTGCATTTCCATGCAGGAGTGAAGCCTACTTCAGTAATGTGTGGGCTACTATTATGTAAGACAAAGACTTTTCATGGCTAGCTAGCGGCTCTCCGCAGTTTTCCATCACCAAACTCAAAATCGCAAAATTTGATAGGCCATATTTGAAAGCTTCGTTCTCGGTGACTCGCTGATGAAAAGCTATGTATGCTATAAACCACAAATCTTTTATTAATTTTAGAAAACAATGTTATCAATTTATATTCAGCCTTTCAAAAGTTATCGAATTTTGCTCTTACGCAACAACTTTGGTGCCAACCTAATACAGGTGCGAGGCTAACAGACCAAATCTAGCAATTACGTGGGAAAATTTCATCCAAAAATATTACATCAGTGCCGGGTCATTTTTCTCCTTCATACGCTGTTTTTATTAGCTTGAGTCACCACGATATGCTGTAAATGATTGGCTATGACATTTTGTACGTAGGAAACGCACGATTTCTTTTCTACATATACCAAGTGAACGAAGTTGTTGAGAATGAAAAATGTTACGAATTCAACTTTAGTGCAAGAGTTTCGTATCACTCAAAAATATTATAGTAACAGAATTTTATTTTATTAGCTTGTATAAGCAGGGACATTGACTGGCCTAAGATTGGTCGCAGGAAGTGAATCCCAGTGGTGAAGAGTTCTTGGGTCCTGAGCGCGCCTACTGTCCCATCAAATTGATTAAATTGCTGTCATTTGTTCTGTGTTCAACACTAAGTTTGAGACGTTTACTGCTTGATTTTTGGGCTGAGATTGATTCTGCGTTAGCGAAGTTTGAGCGAAGTCATTTGAAAACAATCTTGTGCGAGACACCAAGGCGGAAAATGAAAAAAAACATAATCCGAAAAACAAGATAAAAAGGTTTTTATCAGGAAGAAAGAAAACAAAAATGATTTCAAGGCAGCCAATGACAGCAATTTCATATCTAGCGCCCTTGGTCCAAGAAATCTATGGTTTGAAGGATGGTCTCTTCGTTATCATCTCGCTCAATGGTATCTATTTGTTCGATTCATGAGATATTAAAAACGCCAGCGATTACAAATGATGAGAAGCTTGAGAAGGTACATTTGTAAAAATTGCTAATTGTAAAGCAAATGTGACCAAGTTCTTGAAAGTTCTTGAAATTTTTGACTTACATGACAAAGTTGCTTATGCTTCGTATCCAGCTGTTTATGTTCCTTGTCATACTCCTTGCACATCCGAAAAGATGCAGGGTGCAATTGCACCAATCAACGTGAGAAGGTGCTATGTGATCCCCCCCTCCCCCCAAATCCCAGAATGGATATGCTTTTAAGGTACCTACATGAGCTATGTCGAGCTATGTGGATAAGACTTATTTTACTTGCATTAGAATAATTTGAGATTATGTCGTAGCTTTCATGTATCGAAGGGCGTGGCTGACGTTGCGCCTCCATTTAAAAAAAATTTTTGTCGGGCACACCAAATTTTTGAACAGCCAGCCACCGCTGTGGATTCACTGCTGGATACTCTGCGCTATTTCCATTGCGTAAAACTCCTGATCAATGTAAAAAGTGCAATTTGATGGAGAAGCACGCTTATGCAAATGTGGGTAACAGTGACGGATGGAAGAAGAGGAGGGGGAAGAGAAAGCAAGCGTTTACTTGAATTATATGTAGGTAACTTGTTTACTTATGAATAATTGGAATTATTCTAAATCAACTTGAATCTCTAAAATTTTGAAAACTGATAAATGAGAGCTTGAGAAAATCTGAAAGTATTCTCAAAACTTTAGAACGCGGATAATTGGCAGCAACTCTTTCAGAGGTGGGAGAATGAAAGTGTTGAAAGAAGAAACGCATTTTGAAAACAAAAATGTCTCTCATCTTTTATTCCTCCAAAAATTCAGATTATTAATAGAGGGGTAAAGCAGCAGGGTTTTCGCAAAACTATTATAGATAAAAAGGTCCGGCATGAACGGCTTCAACTTCTTTTCTAAAAGCAGTAAAAGCAATCGGTGACTTAAATTCTCCTAACAGATGATGATAGCATAAACTATCGATGAAGTGATGGTGGGGAGAAAAATGATGATGAGGTCAGAAATTTTTGATTTTGCCGTCCATGCCACTTGTCTCGCGAGAATGATTGAGAATCACGTGTGGAAAAATGGGGCAGGATGATCTCGTCAAAGAGCTTGAGCCTCGGGGAATCCGAAGGGGTTATCGATGCCGATTGCATGGTGTAACAGACGGAGGCAGCTCCTCGTGTGCCGCCAGCCACTTGTGTCACCCCACGCCGCTCCACTACAACATGGCAGGACCAGTCCCGTATCGGACCAACGAAAATAAGGTTCGTTTATGAGTGTGGGGGAATTTGCTCTCAAGGGTGGGGATTTCTTAAGACCGATAAAAAATTTTAGCAATTTTTTTGGCCACAATTTTATAGCGCATATTGTTTGATTACAGGCTTAGCGTTAAGAACTTAGTAGATTCAAATTTCTTGTCACCTCTAAACTGAATGGAAGATATCCCAAAACCGCCCCTACTCAGAAGCAAATTTATTTCCGCTTTTCAAAACAGAGAGTACTTTAACAACATTTATTCCATCATACTCAAACGCTCGTTCTTCGCGATTAAACCTATCTTCTTATCTTCCTTTTCTCACCCTTCCATTTTTTTTGATTATTCCAGCATCACTGAAAATCAAGCTCAAACTACCCATAAATTAGACACTTAAAGATTCCAGAAATTTACATCATGCATCTCTTGAACTTCCTACTTCAAGCAATTAGCACACGTCCTGAGGAACACATGTTGGTAATTTCACTAAAAACATTCACATGCCAGCCGTTCACATTTGCTGTGCTTGAAAATCCACAAAAGATAGTCCTCTAAAGCTAAGCATTAGTTGAAAGCTGAGCGCTAAGAACCTTCTGAACTAGGAGAGATAATGCCAGACAGCTTCTTCGCATAACCAAATTTTGCGGCAATTCAATTAATTCCTCATGAAAATGTATTTACAGACGTGAAAGCTAATCAAATGCTTCCCACATGTTGTGCAAAATTACACACCTTCTAGTAGCCCGTTAATATCTTCTAACCCTAATTTTTTACAAGCCATGTCCCCCCCCCCCATCAAACTTTTGCGCCGGCTATGAAGCTTAGCGAGTTATTTCCCGGATACGTAAACTCCAGTATCCAACCGAATGCTATACTGCTTCTGATCGCGGGTTAGGTTTGGAAGTTATTTGGTTTTGGATTGACCAGAACACCCCAGAGAACAGTGAGTATCAAGCAATCCCCAAATCTTTTTTGAATAATTTCTGTGATTTTCTCAGAGAGCGTGACCTAGAGGAAAATAATGCCTAGTAGATTTAATGGTTACTCGATCTTGAAAATTCCGATCTCCTACAGTAGCTATCACTGCGTTCAAAACTTTGAAATTTCGAACGTTCAAACTCGAAGCTTGCCTATCTGTCTACATTTGCAGAAAAGTAGTGTAGTCAAAGATTCTCTGCTAAAGTAATAGCATTTTGTTAGATAGCTTTTAGCTTGGCCATGCACTATATGCTCACCATGAAGCCAAAATGTTCTCATGAAAAGGAGTTTGTTGGAGACAAGTGGTCGAAAGCAAATTTAGTGTAACAAAAAACCTGGCGATATCTCACTAGATATCGAATCATTTTTTTTCATAGCGCAAATGTGGAAGCAAAAAATACGCCGGGAATTTCAGTATTTATTTCATCTGAGAGTTTCTTCTTTAGACTCTATTCAATGCAACATTACACTTTCTTTTTTCCATGCTTTTTTTACAAGTTCTGCATGTCGAGTGATATCGGCAAAAACCTAAACAGTTGTCCCTTCATTTACGGAATGACCGTTTTTTGCCTATGTTCACAACATGACTTGCTTCTACTGCGAAAACATTTGGCACAGTCATCTGATGAAAAGAGATGAATTCATAAATTGAGTATCACTTATTTTCCTTGTAACAAAAAAATCAAGCTCTTCGCCAGATTCAACGATATTCATGTAACCATATGATCATTAATTGCACTTTGATACTGAGTGGAGGCTCAGAGATAAGAAATAGAGGGTGATTGATGACAGTGTGAAAGCGAATCTAAGGATTTCTCAGATGGAAATGATCGATGAACTAAAGGGGTGTATGCCAAAAGGCGCGATTTTTATTACCACATGGGCACAAATTAGCGCATTTTTAGTATTTAATGACGTTTTAAAAGCATTCGAAATTTCTGTGGAAATATGCAAGATCGCTGCCAAGGCTGTTCAACCTCATATCTTGAATTAGATTCAAAGCATTGATGTTAGAGGTCAAGAACCCGTAAAAATGCAACTAATGGTATTTTTGTGAGTAGTTTAAGTAATTTTCCACCAAAAGCCTCCAACTTAGCAAGTGGTAGGTTCAGATAAGCTAGAACACTTTGTCTGGTATTCCTGAAAGGCGCGCGTAGCTCTAAGTTGGGGTGTTGAGTTGGGGACTTCCGGGTAAATCGCGCCTCTCGACCGCCTCTTGAATTGGAGCTCTATGTAAATGACAACTCTCAACGTATTGATGGATGAAGATCACTCCAAACTTCAGCTCAGATAATTTCTAACTCAAAAACGCTAAATGTTCAGGTGGAAATTGTGCAGTCTAAGTCGCAGTTTAGAGCTTATTTCACCCACGAAATCTTTTAAGCTACCTTGGCAATAGCTATATTCAGATAAACCTTACAGTAATCAAATCCTTGCAGTAACAGTAGTCAGTAATCACACAGGAACCCAGATTACAAGTGTTGCCTAAACACTGTCTCCACGCCAGCTAAGTGGGCTTGATGAAATTAATTGTGCCAATTTACCTAAATAGCAGAATTACCACAAAAAAAAATCACTGAGAAAACCAAATGAGGCGAAAAAATCCAATCAAAAATAAAAGTGGCTGAATAACAGCCATTCAACATTTGCATCAGAAACTGATTGTGTGACGTAGGAAGACTTTGTGCCACCAAAATTCTTTATTCATATTTCTGTATTTCACATTTTTGCGAGTACCAAATAGTATATATGATGATTGCGCATCAGATTCGCGAATAACCTTATCATCTGGTTCCATATCATATTGATCGGAGAACAGCTGACAGAAGATTAAAGAGCTGTCATAAAGAATGCTCGAACCGCACAAGACGCTCTCAAAATGATTAAAAAGTGACTCACCATCACAGTTGGTGATGCAACCCATTAAAAAGACTTAGCGCATCCGAGAAGTATAGGGGAACTTAAGCGTTGCAAAATAAACATTTTAGTGTCAAGCTACTATTCATTTAATGATAAGCTTGAATTACTCTGTAGCTTATTGTAGCCTTTATCATTTCAGTACACTCCTTCTTTCCCACCCATTGTTTATTATCGCGACACATTTGGTCTGGAACCTATAAATGATCGGGATCGAAAAGCGACAGAATCAGGAGCTGAGGGATCTGATAATGATAGCATAGTCACAAAATCTACAGGTGAGTCAAAGCCTTCTACTGACAAGATTGAAAAAGAAGGACTCAACCACAAACTTTTTAATAAAACTACGCTGCTTCGAGGCAATGGAATATTGAGTTTTGTAAACTGATTGCTGAGCAAAAGAACATCATTTACACCACACTTGAGAGCGCCGAGAAAAACGTTGACCCAAATGCAAAAGTTCCAAAAGGGCTGTCCCACCCATTTGGTCACCCACGCCCATGACGAGTAACCTATGTCGGGTGAGGACGCGAAACCGCAAAGAGAGCAATTGCAATGCTCTCACTGGGGCGTGGGGGGGGGGGGGTTTAGAGGGGATGGGTAAGTGGAAAACGGGCATATCATGTTTGTTCAAACATACAAGATGTCATTATGTGTTTACACTGTTTACACTGTTTGATCCTCAATATCTCTTTTCCCAAGAAGTCTTCCGCCTACTTTTAGGCATTACTTTGTAGGGCTGGCTTCAACTTAGATTTACACTATGAAGCGAATCACTGACTGCTCTATGTTACTGTAGGATTACGGTAGAAATTTTCAGTTTACAACGTCATTGCGCATTAACCATGTTTCAGAAAGTTTCCAAAAAATTTGAAAAATGAAGTACCAGGATTTTTACGCTCGCTAATTTTATTACTCAAGTTTTTACAAGTTTGCGAAGCTTTTTAAATGTAATCACAACTTTGTGGAGCTTTGTAAAAACAGCTATTGCGGTTTACCTGGCATAACTTACTAAGGAAGCATTGCGGTAAAGTGCAAACTTCATTTTGGTTTTGTCGGCTCGAATTAGCCTAGTACAAAAGTTTGCAGGTTATTTGTTTGCTTTCTAAGGCAAAGTAGGACAAAATAGGACCCTTAATGACTCAAAACTCTGCTTGGAGTTTCTACCGTAATCCTACAGTATTATAGAGCGATGAGTGATTCGCTTCGTACTGTAAATCTGAGTTGAAGCCAGCTCTACAGAATGGTGCCTAAAAATAGGCGAAAGACTTCTTGGGAAAAGAGATATCAACGATCAAGCAGTGTATACATACATGCTTTTGGGACACCCTGTATATATTATACAAGTTCTAAGAAGAGTTCATTTTCCAGTTCTCAGGCTTCGAAACCCAAACTTGATTGTAGTGCTACACGAGTACCAATACCAAAGAGACCAAGACGGACTCAGTTTTGACCAAACCGATTCCAGGCAGGGTTATAGTAGCAAAGTGGTACATATAATTGACTTATCGTTAGATATCATTTTGACAGACCTTTGGTGCTTTGCTAGTAGTTTTTTGCAACGTAAGGATGATAATACGATTTTATCAAAAGCGATGGCAAAACGCATAAATGGCTTCACCTTTTGCTTTCTTTGAAATGTGGCAGAAGTGCTGGAAAGCAGATAAACGTGCGAAGTGTTCTCACCTTTCAGATTACACATTTAACTGAGCAAGGTTCTCATTTCAGTTCGAACAACGATGAACGTCCAACCGTTTGCAATGGCTGATAGTATGGGTTCAAAATTTACAAATATGACGCCATCGTACCATGTAAGATTGTTTGATAAGATACTTTCTAGATCGAAAAATCTCAAAAATTTAGGTAGAGCAGCTTCTTACGAATCATGTGCTCACTGCTGATCCCCGAACACTCTTGACTTTAAGTCTTATAGCTTTTGCTAGTGCAATTCAAGTGGTGAGTTTTGTAAATGGGAAAAACTTCAGCTGATCTTTATCACTATTTATGACAAACACAAAGCGATCAGCGGAATAGAGGACTTTTAGCAAATGTGGATTGATTGAGCTATAAAAGCCTGCTTCCGGAAGAAGAAAATTCTCTAAAAGTATTTAAGCCTTGTTATTAGAAATCTATAAATTCTATAGTGTTCGTTGACTACATCACAGTACCATATAACAGAAGACGACAAACAAACAAATTATGTTGCACGACTGGGCGATTCAGAAAATTCATTCGATGACAAGCCCCTACTTACAAGGGAAGCATGTTTAGTCGAAGTGACCTTTTCAAATAGGATTTACACCGTATTGAAGGGCATAAAATGCTGATTCCAAATTTGTCTTCCTTATGCGCAGAGCGTTTATGGACGATGAGTTATGAGAGCTTATAAGAGCAAAAAATTGAATGTGCAGATCATAGGACAAAAATAACCGTAACAATTTTTCTAGCTTTTCAATGGAGCAGTGATCATCAGAGCACTTTGATCAAAAAATACTCTAAAATAAAAAATATGTCACACTTGGTTGCATTATTTGAGGACTAGTAAGATTTTAACAATTCATTTTATACAAAATGCACATTCAATTTTTGGCTCTAAAAAACGCTCATAACTCTTTGTCCATGAATGCTCTGCAGATAAGGAAGGCATGTTTGAAATCAGCGTTTTATGTCCTTCAATATGGTATACATCCCATCCACAAAGGCCACTTCGATTAAACAAGCTTCCCTTGTTAGACTTTTTCTACTTGAAACGCTTCCCAAATTTTCTTTTCTAACATTCACTATTACAGATCATATTTGCTATCATTTGCGTGTTTTATGACGGGTGCCCTTACTATATTGCTCTAGTTGTTGGTTGTTTGATGTTATGTAATGCTATAGTGGTAACTGTATTCTGCAAATGCCGACCCACACGAGGATGGTTGGTGAGTACTTGCGAGGATCAACATCGTTCAGCTTGAAACAATATTTGAGAAGTATCAGGTAGTAAACACCTATAATGAAGGGTTCAGAAATTCAGCAAAATTGCAGCCGTGTAATTTGATAGTCTTGTGGAATGGGAGTCAACAACAAGTTGTAAACCCTATCACTTTCGTCACATTTCGAGCAGTAAACAAAAGGTCACGTCCGATAAATAATTTTTTCGAAATAAAGAAAAATTTCCTTTAGGTAGAATAGAATGTTTGTTACAACCGTACTAGCTTCCATGACAATCTGTTACTTACTCGTACTAATTTGGCCTAATTTCGTTAAGATGCGCATTTTTGAGCTTGACAAATTGTTAGTGATCATGCAGCATTTTTTCGCAGTATCCTTATTCGATGTTTTTTTAGATCAATCTCATTTATTTTTGCAATCATTGTGCACAATGAGTATTGATATCAATTAAATGAATAAGTAGCAAACGTTCGCACAGATTTCCATGATGGAGGAGGGGAGGCGGGGGGGGGGGGGAGGAGTGGGGACAGAGACTTTCTCGAACGAAAGGTACATAGCAGTGACGTTGATTAAACGCTCCAAATTTGTTTTTGAAATTCTTGAACTTTTGCGGACCTATAGCCCCCTCATCAAAAGTCCCCCAAAAATATTCGAATGCACATTCGATTTTGAAAAAATCGAGGTTATTTAAAATTCGAGGTACAAACAAGTAGCATCCTTTTCATGACGCATAGACAACATGAAAAAAATTCGCGATCCATTTCCACTCCATTCAAAACATTTCACTGATTTACTTGTCGATATATTTTGATACACTTGGGAAAAGCCACTCTTCTAAAAAGAAGTTGATTCCAAATCTTTTGTTTGTGTATTACCCTACTGGCTTTTATTAAATTATTTTTAATGCTGCACAACATTCAACAACCCAGCAATTTTTCTTCAAACCGAAAAAGCTTCTAATATTGAAAATATTTCAGATAGCCAGCTGCATAGCCGCATCGTTATCGTTTGTACAAAGCGTCTCATTATTCTTTTGGACGGCATATCTGGTGAATAACGAGGACAAATACCTCGAACGTATAGGCGCTAAGGAAAATCGTGTTGTGACGAGCACTCGGATAGCGATGTACTCTCTGCAAATGATATTCGCTCCAATCCATGGTAAGTGCTAAATCTCAGTCTCATACTTCATCGCAAGGGCGAATCGGAAGTGCAAATGACGAGTTGACGCTCCGTTTATCACGGTCCCATTTGTTTCGCGGAGTTCTAGAAAAACGCCAAAGAACGAAACCGGGTGTTGTGAAGATTTATAGCCGCGTCAGCAGGCAATATCAAGAATTATGGCTTCTTTTTCGGATCTTTTAGTACCACGCGAGTGGCTATAGCCTTGTAGGAAAAACACCGTTAACCTTCGTTTTGTCTTAAAAGACTTCGTTCCAGCTATAGCAGCGGCTATCATCGTTTTCTTACTGTATGGAATTTGCAATCCCTGAGTGAAGAGAAAGTAACTCACGGCTACTTCCTCAGCGAACCACAACTCGGGCATCAGGTAAGTCACTAAGTTACATTGCTGTGTTTGCATATTTGGGAGCCGATTCTCCGCAGAGATAAAAAAGCTCTGAGTAAAAATTTGCGACAAGAGTTTTACAGTTTATTCCAAAAGGCAGCGTTCGAACTCTAATGACTACACATTTCCTCATTTTTTTCTCACAAATGATCCAATTTAAGCTCATTTGCCGGATGGATGAAATAAACATATCAGCAAAAATTACAGTGACGTTTGAGGAAAAAAAAGATTTAACACAACTATGCACAATATCTTTGCAGCGAATTCACCTTTACGCGAATTTACGACCATTTCTGGTCGAGTGCACTTGCTTCAAATTTAGGTCGCAAGCACTATTTCTGAATCTCGCGACAATCTTACAAGGGAACCGTGTCGAGTCGAAGTGGCCTTTCCAGATGAGACCCATACTGCTTTGAAGAGCATTTATCGGTAATTCCAGATCTGCCTTCCAAATCTGCCAAGCGCCTCTGGACGCCGAGTTATGACCGTTCTTCGGAACGAAAAATGAATACAGAATTTAGGTAAAATTGATAGTTACAATCTTTCCAGCGCTCAGATAAAGCAATGTTAAGTATTAGCATATTAAATAAAATGTATCTGTTGCACAAACAGCTCTGATACTTGACACTGGACCATTTGAGTAAATTTGGGCGATTTTGCTTCAGTTTTCTGTTCAATTTTTTGATCTGAAAAACGAGCATAACTCGGCGTCCAGAGGCGCTTGCAGATTTGGAAAGCAGATTTGGAATCGCCGATTAATGCTCTTCAAAGCAGTATGGGTCTCATCTGGAAAGGCCACTTCGACTCGACACGGTTCCCTTGTTAGTTTGATTCCTTCGTTCAGCCTATCGTTTGAGCGCGCAGCTGTTTTTTTGACTACAAGATAATCATTGAAATCACTCTTGGTAAGCCCCTAACTTTAATATAGGTTTGGCAAAAGGAAAGGCATAGGAAAGGCATTGTGAGTACTGGCAGAAAAAATTATTTATTTTGAATTGCAAATAATCTGCGTCAGAGGCCATTTTATGACAATGTTATCTTCTCATGAATTTTTAGATGCACTCACAACGAAAGTGTTTTTTTTAGAAATTAGCTTCCCCCAAAGAGATCTATCGTTCTGAAGCGCATTAAAGGCCAATTCTAATTTGTAATCGATAATTTGCTGTGCTTTTCTGAATGCCATGTTGAAAGCGTTTTTATCGAAAAATTGAACGAGCAAACTACTACGTAGACTAAAATTATCAAAACCGTCATAATGGCCAGTATTGAGTTGCAAGAGCTCATGCGATAAAAAGAAATACTTTTCGTTCAATATCCTCATATTCACCATTGCCATATTTGAGGACCGGGGGAAATTTAACAACTATTTTATTTGTGTATGATTCACCTCTCGCTCCAAAAAACATATAACTTGGCGTTCACAGGCGCACAGCAGACAAAGAAAATATGTTTGGAATCACCGTTCGGTTCCCTGAGAAATGTTGCACATCTCATTCGAAAGGGCCACTTCGACCTCGATTTTCTACTGTAGAACACTACCGTGCTCCGGGGAGTTTATGGTAGCATAACAATAGAAATATCATAATAGCTTCTAAACGGGTACATTTTTCTTTCCCTCAAGAAATCTATCCATTTTTTATTTACTTTTTTTTATAATATATTATACTTATATTCAAATTGTTTATTATTTTTAATTTTTTAATCCATTTTCGCCTTCAAAAGGATAAATTAAAAATAATATCAAATTATTTGAAATGAAAAATCTAAAAATAAATAAATTATATTTAAAATATTTATTTTATTTGAATCGAATATATAATAGAAAAGAATGAAAATAATTATTTGAAAAAGAATGAGCACATTAATAAGTATGTTGATTTAATTTTAAAAAAAAATTATTTTTATTATACTTATTTTATTATTTTGACATATTTTGATTTCATCAATAATACTAATATTTTGTGTGTAGTTTTCTTTAGTTTTATCTTCATTGTTGTTTATTTTTTATTTATTCCTATCTTTATCTGAAAGGCCATGTATACTTGATGATTAATAAGAATTATGAATATTTTGTTATTTGAATTGTTTCTTTTTTAAATACTATTCTATTGATATTCATCATATTATTTTATTTTTTTGATCTTTCCTTTTTAGTTTTTTTTCCATTTTTAAATATACAATATTTTTTATAATAAGATTTAATATATTATTAATAGTATTTTTGAATTATTAACATATAATTATTAATGAGTACTCTGCGTTGATACCACTGCT